TTCGCGTGCACACATGCACGCGCATTTCACGTGCACGCGCAAAGCTGGTCCCTATATACTACTCCCAGGTCATGAAATACAGATGCCCTTTAGGGTATCTATTTGTCGCACAGCAGGAACACATTGTAATAGGTGGTTACTGTTGTATATAGTGTAGATGACCTGGCATAAATCTTATAATCCTGACGTGACTTCAGCTAAAGGATCTGGCATGATTCTGGTCAAATTTGGTTATGTGAGGGGAAGCAATTGTTCTCAAAGCTGGTTGTCTGAATAACCGGGAAACAATAGCTTAAGTGACAGGAAACACCTTTTAATGTGTATTGGAAAGCTGCAGGTGTGTCAGCTCATACTGCTTGTTTGTCAGACACTGTAAATTGTCTTGATGTACTGATTATTCGGCTTTCTCAAGAGTAAACCCTCAAGTGTCCAATCATGTGTTTTGAATCTCTTTATTTTACAACATCAAACAGTTGAGGTTAGGTTTAGGCAACAAAACTACTTGGTTAGGGTTAGAAAAAAAATGAAGATAAAATGTTTTGTGTTAAGATTAGTACATTTGTTACATAACGTTATGTAACAGTTCATGACGTCACATGAGTTGCCCTGAGTTACGTTGCTGTGCGAAAAAAATACTTTACGTAAATTGCGTAACTTTACATTAAAACAACTTTGGTCCCATATGGGACATAGGTGCAACAGTAACGTAACATTACGTGAAATCAAAACTAGCTTTTGGTTTCAAGCAGGACACTAACTTTGGTGTCCTGTTTTAAAAACTTGTTTTGGTGAAATGAGTTACGTTGCTGTGCAACGAAAGTACGTATGTTAATTGTGTGACGTTACATTGAACTAACTTTTGGTCTCACACGGTGAGTAGTTACGAAAGTACTGAAACATTACGTGAAATCAACACTGACTTTTGGTTTTACACGGGACACTAACTTGTGTAACCTGTTTAAAGACTTGTTTGACTTCCTTCCCTCCAACCCTACACAGTATATACACTTAATTCTACATCAGTTGTGTAGGGTCAAGTATTGCAGCTAATGGGTTTACGTTGGAATTAGTTCAACACCTGGTGCGTCCAAGATGTAGGAGGGTGCTTTTGGCGCCAACATGCATGACAAAGGGTTGTATTTGATGACCAGGGTTTGAGAATGGGCTGGTAATTTCCTCTTATAAATGTATCCAGTTTAAATACAACACAGCCAGCTTATTTTTTTATTTTAGTATGCAGTGTCTGTTTATTGTGAATGATTTGTAAATGAATATTATATGTTGTTTTTTTTCTGTGTTTGTTTGCAAACCCACTCGCCTTAAATGAATTAGAATTTCCCTCATCATTCAACTTTCTTGCTTCATTTACATGATTAATTCAATTGCATTTATTTTTTCAAACAAATCTGCATCTGCACCTGTCCCTGGTGGTTTTGTTGATTTAAATAACAGCAAGAGGCATGTGTGCACGCAGGCAGCCACAGACCCTTGTGGCATTTTTTACATAAACCTCCATACAAATGAGTTAAATACCAAACAGACACAGGTGGCCCATGAGCATCACAATACTCCTTTCTTTTCCCACCTTGTAATAGCCACAGAGATTTCTACAGGCAGTGGAATGGAGCCAAGAAAAGAGGTTCAGCTGAAGGAAAGTGTTTAGTCTGCACTGAGCTCAGCTATAGCAAGAACTATCTCTTTCTTCTGTTGTGCAGTGTGAGGCTATCTACCCTCCCAGGCCTCTCTCCTCCACCCTTCTCCCTCATTACTAACGAACTCTCTCTGCCAGGCCTTACCTCAGGCGGCCCCCTGTAATTATTCCCCAATGCCACAAACTGGTGAGATGGGTGTCCGTTACACACTGTGTGTCGAGCTCAGAAAAACAACAACTGTGGGGCCATTATTTGTCAATCAAACCCAGGGCCAAAACAAAATGCTGTCTGGTACATCCTGAGTCCTAGTTATCATCATTGAAAACTGTCAGGCCAAAGAGCATTTTTATTGATTTCCTTACGTACTTTTTTTATTTATTTTCATCATCCTGGCATGTTCCCTGATCTCTGTTCAGCTTTGCTGCTGAGCCTTTCCTACAATCACCACACCTCCCTTTGAACAGTGCATTGTATAGAAGAAAAAAAAATTGCAAGCAGTTCACATAGGAAGAAGAACAATGAACAACTGTTCTTTACTTTTCGATGTAACAGAATATGTTACTGGAAAGCAAAAAACATATGAATTCTCATAAACCACCAAGTACATCGTATAAACAGATCTTTACAAATATGTCAGTCTCCAATTAAATATATTTGGTGGTTCAATGATTTCTTATACTCACAAGAAATTAGTATAAAAGACAAAATTAATTGATGAGCAGCAAAATGAATCAATCTAGATCAATAGATTGTAGAAAAATGAATGCTGTGAAACTGTGGATGAACTACACTGAGCATCTGATGGAATAAAAAGACAATCAATCTGCTAAGATACAAACACTCTGTAGAAACCATGGAAAGGTTTGTTGCTCGTTACCCCTCTGTTCTTCTGGGCTGAATCGTTTCGGTGATAGATGCAGTCGCTCAAGTTGGATGAGCAGGGTCGTTGATTCCGATCGGGATGGAGCAGAAATTCTCTCGGCTCTGAAGCTGGTCCCAGTGGGTCGATGTCATATCCTTCCCAAGTTTGTCTGGTCTTTCAGACTGCGTTCGCTGATCAAACAGACTTTTGTCGTCGTTTGCAAAGGTGGCAGATGTGCGGGTGATACATGCACAGCAGGGGAGGTCATCACTTTGGCTGCAGGCAGAGTCTGTTAAAAGTTTCAGTAATGTGCTGTTTATGCACAAACACAGCTGAGGATGTTCTCCTTCGGTGATTGTCAAAGTCTTCTTCTTAGGCAGAAGGCTGGGGGAACAGATGCAGTTTTCTCAGGATTCCTGCATCACTCAAAATGTAATAACTTGCCGCTAATATTATTTTAACATCAAAAAAGAACCCAGATTAAAACACAAAAATACCCTGAGTAGTGCTGAATATAAATTAACAAAACTTTGCATGAATATATTTTAAAGAAGAAAAAATGAACTTTATATTTTGAAAAATACACACACACACACACATACAGAGTTGAGCCAAACAGGAGTTTAGGGGACAGTACCAACATTATGGAGAAAAAAATTGAATATAAAATCAATATATTGGCCAATATTTTTGGAGGGAGGATATAACAATAAACTTTACTTGTATTAAAGGAGATTGGAGACACAAAGCACGACTGACACGATGTCAGGAGAGTAAAGTAAGGACATGTTTATTTATTTTCCATCATTAGATCTCACCAACTAGGTAACAACATAGAAGTGATGTTGTTAGGTACGTGTCCTGCATCCTTGACACAAAAAACAAAACCTGAGAGGACACTGTAAACTCACTATTGATTCGTTCAAGGGAGGCACTATTATTAGTGTGAAATATAGAAACAGTATTTCTCATGTCACAGGAACAACTGAGAGAGAAACATGTGTCCTGGATGTTATTATCATGCTGTTGGTTATGTGTTGGTGCTTTCACCATCACCTCTGGTTCTCTGAAACTCTGTGCCACCATTGCCTGGCAAAGGTGGCAGTGTTGGCACAGTAAAGAGGTCCTGGGGACCGCCGGTAGACAATAACTAATATTTTTAGTGGCCGTGGGAGTCACCAGAGCATCCACGATATGGTATTATCACGATACTTAGGTCACAATACAATATTATTGCGATTTTAAATATGTTGCGATATGCTGAGTATTGCGGTAAATCTTGTTTAGAGACCAGAAATACACAC